AGTAGAGTGAACTCAGTATGTTTACATACTTCTGCGGCATTCCTTTACGAGGGAGTGAATCCATAAGGGATTCACGATTAACTGAGTCGAAGGCTCCTTTTACGTCAAGGAACACGACAACCGTTGGTCGACGGTGCGTATGGCGTAGCTGGAGGACTTGACGCAGAGTGAAGATTTGATCGATACAACCGCGACCTGGTCGAAATTCCGCCTGTTGTTCGCCTATGTTTGTCTCCCTAAATGGCGTCAGACGTCGAAGTATAATGGAGGCTAGTAACTTGGTGAGGATTGGGATCAAACTTATTCCACGGTGGTTTGCGCAGTCATTGCGAGATCCCTTCTTAAAAATTTGAACGATCAGCGATTTGCTCCCGGATGATGGAATGCGCTCGGGTAACCAGATGTTACGCACTACATCAGTAATGTAGTGTACAAAGTCATCGCCCCCCATCTTGAAAAGAGTGGGAGGAAGCCCGTCCGGCCCTGCTGCTTTTTCTTTCTTCAGGGATTGGATGCAAGAACGAACTTCTGCTGCAGTAGGAGGTTCAGATGACACTGCCCACTGTGCCTCAGCTACATGGAAAGAGATAACCTGGTAAGTGCCTGGCCAGCCTAATTGTTCGTTGAAGTACTACGCCCACCGGTCAAGCCGTTGTTCCCTATTGTGAATAGCTTGCCCACTTTTGCCGCAGATTGTTTCACTAACTGTGGTTCGCCGACCTCCCGTATTGCGTATCAGTTGGCACAATCGCTGAATATTCCCTGATGCAGCTGCTACTTCCATTTTTCTCCATCAGTGCTACTGACTCATCAGATATCCAATACCTCGGGCCGGCTACTGCTTCAGATCCACAAGCAACGTTCGCTGCGGAGTGCATTGCTCGCCTAATCTGATCCCATTGCTCATTTGCACTACCACCGCGCAGTGCGGTTAACTCTTGTCCTAGTTCTGATTCAAAACGGGCACGAAGGGCTGCGTCAAATAGGCAACGAACTTTGGCGAGTGACGAACAAGTTGTCTGAGGGAATGTTACGGGTTGGAAGAAGGAGCGAAGGAAGAGGGTTGGGTACGGAAGACAAAGAGGTACACAAAGGTTCGCTTATCTGAGCAGTAGCCCACTAATCACTACCCACCCTGCTCGATGCAATGGGCAGCGCGGTCCTGATTATCCTGCGCGACGACCGATACAGTATGAAATTATTTTTTGGTTGTGTATGCATTTGAGTTTGATGGACGGGTACTGCCAGGGTGTCCAACCACTAAGCAGGAAAACGATTAGGGTTCTCGTCCAAAGCCTTTAGTTGACAAGAACCTGACCGCAAGGCAACGGGTAAAGCGAATTAGAGGCCCATTTACTTGTATCGATTACTCCTCTACCATTTTACCGACTGAGACGCTAACTCGAGTTGAACCCCCAACCTGGAGGACCAGGAGATTGGACTTTGTCTGACCTCTACCCATTGACCTTCCAGGCATGATTAGATCTGCGGTTTGACAAAAGCCATCCTGTATAGCTCGTTGGGTCACAGAGGTGCGCAAGCTATTACACCACGTCAAGGTGCAGTCCCGTCGTGATGGTAGTTTCGTTAACTCCAAAACCAAGGCTGAACATCCTTAAAACCCGATGGGGACAGCTCCTCCGGGCTGGAAGCCTTTCGAGATGTTTTACTCCTCGGGTAACCTTTATTTCAGATAGAGGACTGACGTCAACTGGCAGCTGAAGCGGGTGTAGGAAGGTTTTGTGTCAACCCAGCCGGCGAGCAGTCGAACGGTGAACAGTTATACACACAAAAGAGTGACGTGACGCAAAACGCCATCGAGGTTTTAACATTTACTGTAAAAAGATTTTGACTGCCATCTACTTGACCCTACTTCGGCTAAATTAAATAAATAAACTCATGTTAACAAAGAAGTTCGTAAGTGCGATATTTTTAAAACGATGACGCAACCTCATATAAGATCGTAAACATTGCGAAGTATGCACATTTAGGTGGCGAAAAATAAAGTTTGCGGAACGATTCTATAAATTCAGTCAAGTTGCAAATACTGAGCAATTTATCGCACGGTGTAACTGATGTGGGTGAACAAGAATTTTGACTGACCTCGACGGAGCGGAAGCAGTCGGTTCTCCAGAACCTCTTTTGCATCAGTTCCTTCGTCCATCAGATCCAACTTCGTCAATACACCAATGGTTCTCAGACCTTCCGGGTCGTATTCCTTAGCAAGTTTTAGTGCATCGGAATTCGCGAGATCGGTATTAGCCGGGGTGACAGCCAAGATCAGACAGTTGTCCTTCTCGACAAATTCCACAATCATTTTTCGAATTTGCATTTCAATATCTGGAGGCTGATCACCGACTGGAACTTTGGTCATCCCCGGTAAGTCAATCAAAGTTAGGTTCAGTACTAAAACGGCGTAAAGATAATTTTCGTCATATTTACCATTTGGCGAATGTATCCGCAAGTTGATTGGAATATTTGAAATTCCCTTATTATTCCCAGTAACTCTGTCTGTCTCCGCCTCGATTTCCTTCCGGATATCATCAAAATTAGTGAATCGCTTGTTTTTACAATGGATGAATTCACCATATTCTGAAGAAGTGTAAGAAATTGAAAAACGAACCCACCAGCTTTATCATTAACTAACTGTAAAATTAAAGGTCTACGAGTGACTATACCACTGCCCCTAGGTAGGAAATCTCTGAAAGACCCGAATGTTGATTCCAAATGCAACGTACCGACCGACAAAATTTTCTAAAACAGAACTTTTTCCGGCGCTTTGGCTTCCGACAACAGCGATTTGCGGAAGATCGAGATTGAGAGGGATGCTGAGGGATGCAAAGGCATCCTGCAGCTTATTAACCAAAGGGATCAGCTGCTCCATTCCACTATTCCCGTACATCTTTCCGGAAAAGACCCACGGTCCGGGGTGCACATACAAAATCCAAGGACGTACTTACAAGGTCAGTTCAGTCAGTCAGTCAGTCAGGACAGGACAGGACAGGACAGGTCACAGGACTTGCGGCTTGAGCCAGTAAGGTAGT